CATTATATTTTTTCTGTTAATATATAACAATGAGAGAATATAGTATACTTACAAATAAAAACAAACAAAATTACTTCAAAAAGTGGCATATCTTTAGAGGTTGGAAGCATGGGTGTAAGGTTTGTGACGAATGCGATCACCATTCACACTTATATTGCAAAACATGCAAAAAAGTAGCGAATGGAATATATAAGCAGTGTGAATATGAAAATTCTGTAACTTCAAGTCTTTAACTCGTCGTCCAATTGGTATTTTTGATTTATAATCGGGTATTCAGAATGTGGAATTTGAATTATTCTGACATGTGAATATCTTTGTTTGTGAAAAATGGAAAATATTACTTGTGCCTGAAGAGGTGTGACATCGGCTGTCACAGTGGCGCAGTAAGTTATTTTTGTTACTGTTATCATTATTGTTATTACATACGTACTAGACCAAATTCGTTATATTCAATTATTCAAACTCAATCGAGCATATTAGCTTATCAGTTATGCATACTTTTATTTTATCATGTGATTATTGTACCTGTGATCTTAAATTTTAAAACCATCCTAACAAAATTCGGCCAATCACCCAGAAACTAAGACAAATTGGATTATCATAATAAAATAGACGATTGTTCCTACCAGTTTTTTTTAATTGAAACTTCTTTCTTTTTGGATATAAAGATTATGTCTTCACCCTATATGCCGTTTTTGCCATTTTTTGCCACACAAACGGAGGAACCCACAATGGACTCTGCAATCAAAGAGCTAGATACTGAGGGGCTTATTCAGTTTTTAAAGAAAAAAAACTTAGAGTTAAAGGATTCAAGCTATGAAATTTTAAAAAAACAAGAAATTCCTGGATCTGTCTTCTCTGATTTTACAGAAGATAAATTTCGTAGTATGGGTTTACCATTTGGGCCTGCGAAGATTTTGGCAGATTTTACCAAAAAAATAAGAACACAAAAATTGAAAACGTATTTATCATATAAAACAGGAAAAGACTTTAAAGATGTTTTAAAAGAATTCGGAATCGTTGGGACTAGCATAGGAGACATACCACAGTTTACGCCTGGTAAGGTGTTTTCTAAGTAAACCAAACTATTGTACATTGAGCGGTATTATTGCAAGGGTGGAAATACTTACCGCTTTTTTAACAGAACTATATAAAATTAGTGAAGATGATGAAAATCTAAATCTATGTATGACGCTTATAAAGACCAAGTTGCCCATTCTGGGAACCCTACTTGCCGACGATAATGAAAGGGAACGTTGTGAATATGTAGAATCTATCCTGGATTCAGCAATACATATTGTCAAAAGGATCACAGGAAAACAGGTTACTCGCCACCCGCAGATGGAAGTTACCGGAGAAGATAATACTGGTATAGTAGATTATGCTATAAAATATCAATCCGAGCTCATTTGCATAACCGAAGGTAAATTTTGGAATATAACCGAAGGGTTTATGCAAAATCTGCTTCAACTTCAAAGTGCTTCTCAAGTCAACAAGCGCATTATCGGTAATGTTTTCGGGGAGAAGGATTATATTTACGGAATAGTAACAACGGCAGAAGTATGGTATTTTTTAAAATATACCAATGAGGGAATTGCTTGCACGAGTAAGAATCCGCTTAAGGTTGAATTTAATGAATCTGCATTAGAAATTTTAAATGAGGAACGTAATTTACGTAATAATCTAAAAAGGATTATTGAGATTATTACAGGTTTATTAATAGATAAATTGGGGGATACTGAGCCACCGGTGAAGAAGGTGAGAAAGGATAAATAAGATATTGCTTTCTGGGAAAATATTCTTTTACAAATTGTAACGACTATGGCTTTTTAGTATCAATAAAGAAAAGCTTTATTATATTAATTGCATGTTTATAACCACAAAAGAAATTGAGATAACAGCATAAATAATTAATATTTATAAAAAATAAACAACATAAAATAAAAAATACAAATAAATAAATTTTTGGGGTTTACATAAAATATAAACGGTATCTTTATTGGTAGTAAAGCCTTAACATGTGTAATAAAAAACTTTATTGATATAAATAAAAATATGTGATATTAATAAATATAATAAAAACTAGAATACGGGTAATAGGATTTATTTGATATTCTTGAATTACTTCTCCAACAATTCGAAACACATTCTATGTAACTGTATTATGATATGATGCTGTAAGCATCAGTCCACCCTACTATGCAAATACGGTTTCAACTGCTTCGGCAAATCCTAAAATTATTTCTTCAGCTGGGGTAGAATACCTATTTCCATCATTTTTTAAACGACGAATACTTAAAACAGAACCAATTTCTTCTAAAGTCGAATCCATAGAGGTATAAAAACCCGTGATTAACAATATTATTCACACTGTAATTAAACAATGCTATTGGTTCTGTTGCAAAATATATTATACGGCCCTCATTTTTTACGATCAGTAACAGACTTGGTTTTACATATTTTTGAAGTAGCTGGCCCTGGTGGCTCGATTTTATATAATATATACAGTAATAGTGATTACTTTTGCATGTGTATTCTTACCGATGTATACTAACCTACTTATGATGGACAATTGGAATAAACACATTACGTTTTTATTTTGAATATATCCGCATTTTATATAAAACAATGGCAGATTCACAAACTACAATTGCTTCGTTAAGAGAATTAAATTCCAAGCTTGTGGTCGAGATCAGTGAACTTAGAAAGAAGTTCGCTAAGGTTGAGCTGAGAATATTGAAGTTAAAGCTGAGAATGTGAAATTAAAACAAGATAAAGAAGAAATAGAGGCCAGATTTGTAAAACTAGAGCAAAGCGATAAAGAGAATGCCAATCTAAAAGCTGAAGTAGCAAAATTAAGATGCGACATCTTGGAAATCAAATTACAAACCAGAGTTAATACTGACGAACATGTTGCATCTCATATTGAAGTTATTTCGCAGTCTGATGAGAAGAAAGACATTAATTCCGATCTCTTGTCTGAAGTAGAACATAGCTCAACACAATCTGAATCT